AGTGAAAGATTTCTCACACTAAATAGGTTATCTAAACTAAAATCAACTGTCATACCGTATACATGGGCTTATTGTCAGACAAATTTTGGCAACAGAAAATTGCTTGTTACTGAAAAATTGGTTGGTCACCTGGAGATTTGGCCAGTGACTGCTGTCCAAAATGAACCCTGATTCCATACCATAATATGTTTACTGTTGTATAAAAACATGTTAATATATATGTGGTACAATATATAACATAAATCAGATGTGCTAATTTAATGCTTTGTTTGATCAGTTAATTTGAATCATGTTTAGTAACCAAACAGTTTTTTTTTCTACTTAATAAACCCTATAACTAAGTCTTGTATTTCATTCTGGTTACATATATGATAACAATAAAAATATAGTTATATAAGAGTCTAGGCAAAGAGTGAAGACAGGAAGGGGGTGGGGAGAAAATTAGAAAGAAGGAAGATGGAATGGATGACAAAGGGCAATGAGTGGATAGGGGACAGAGTGAAAGGAAAGAGGCAATGAGTACAGGAGAGTAAAAGAAGGATATGTGAAGAGAGAAAGGAAGAAGAGGTCAGACAACCAAGCCCAATTACTGTATCGTGTAGATAATATAGAATCATAAAAGAAATCAAAGTTAGAATCATTTTAAGTAGCTCTGCACTATGATTGATCACACAGGATGAACTGTTGATTATATGGTATTTCATATATTGAGTAATAAACATATTTATTTGTAAATAAGAACAAATTCTTATTCTGCCTAATTCTCCTGGATATCAACACATAACATATTTATCATTTTTGTGAACTAGCACCATATTTACCCTGACAGAACAATCAATGTCTAAATGCCTGTTAAAACACTTTCCTGTAACTTATACAAAACATCCACTATCTGTTAATCTTAGCCTACCATCTGACAGTATCTCTTTCGACACAAAACCAGGACACTTACATTACACATGTAGTATAAATCTCCCCAATATGGTTAAAATGGTATGATTTCAAATTAGTGTATCTAATCTAAGCAGCATCAACAGGTCTTTAAGAAAGTCAGGTTGACAGCATGAACTTCGAAATTCTGAATACAAGAAAGTCAAATTAGACAATTAATTCAAGTAATTTGATGAAGAATGGTAAACTGTTCCAGGTGTGTGGGAGTGATTGGCAGGGTATGTTGATAGCAAGGGAGATAATCATTGTAGTATATACAGGTGGTTGGGAAGAACAACTGATATATCAGTGCAGTGCTCCATTATTAAAAATAAATGTAGATGGGGTCAGGGATCACAGTATCTCTCGTAATCACTCCATACCTATATCTGTTACACTACTGATGTGTTCTAACCTGACTGTGAATATTTGGTATGAATATTCGCAGGTAAACAGAAAAATCTATCCCAAATAATTAAAGTAAAAGGGAACTTCGTAATATAGTAACTGCCCTATCAAGATGAATAAAATTCATAATATAGTAACTGCCCTCTCAAGATAAACAGTTATACTATGGTAACATGATAAAAATAATGATTGAATAAACTTAAACATAACATTGCTTGTTATCTTTCTATATACATAATCACAAATTATTCCATTCATATAATCACAAATTATTCCATTCATATAATCACAAATTACTCCATTCATATAATCACAAATTATTCCATTCATATAATCACAAATTATCCATTCATATAATCACAAATTATTCCATTCATATTCATTTAATCACAAATTATTCCATTCATATAATCACAAATTATTCCATTCATATAATCACAAATTTTTCCATTCATATAATCACAAATTACTCCATTCATATAATCAAAAATTATTCCATTCATATAATCACAAATTATTCCATTCATATTTTTCCATTCATATAATCACAAAAATTTAATTCCATTCATATAATCACAAATTATTCCATTCATATAATCACAAATTACTCCATTCATATAATCACAAATTATTCCAATATAATCACAAATTACTCCATTCATATAATCACAAATTATTCCATTCATATACCGGTAATCACAAATTATTCCATTCATATAATCACAAATTATTCCATTCATATAATCACAAATTATTCCATTTTATATAAATAAGGAAGAAATTATACAACAATTAACAAACAAATCATATTTTACTGATAGTTTCCTGGGTAAAATTAGTCTTTTTTATTGTAGCTGGATAACATGGTCTGTCCCTTTCACACTAATTTCTCACTCACTACCCTGATTGTCAAAGCAATCACATTTTTACCTTGTTCACAAATATACATACGTATCTACAAACACATAATGCTGAAGTGATGCCTTCCTACAGTAAAAGCTAAAATGCAGATCTTAACTGCTTTTATTTTCAAAATATATTATGTAAGCAAGAAAAATATTTATGTTGTAACAATACAGGATTTAAATGACACCCGACGGCTATTTTGACACCACATGAACATTGTGTTAATGAAAGCTTTAGAGTGCCGTAGCATTTGTCTATCATTCATGTGACAGATAGGCTGGAGGTGGAGTTTGTGTCTCCTTTCTACAAATATTTATATAGATTTGATGCTTTTCCTACAAATCTGATGACAATATATATTAGCTATGAATAAAATGCATCACAACAGATGACAAGGACAGTTGTATATACCTAGCAACAAAACAGACCACTTTTTAATCTGCGTCTTGCATTTTTAAAGTCGCCATTATATTATGGTAATCTGTTTCATTTCTATTTAAGTTATACGAAAACTTTTCAGATAAGACGTATTACATGGAGAGTGATAATTGATAAAGATGATAGGCAGAATCGATGTAGAGGGTTCTTTGAGTGGTAGAAACAGATTACTGATCTAGAAACCTGGGGCCAATGATTTCAGGTAGTTTAAAAAGGTTTATGTTTGTGGGTTAGACTTGATATATCACACAAAACCTTGTAGGAGTATGTGAAAACTTTTCACTAATTCAGACTTTGGATTGAGTTGTTTCTTAAAGAAAGCACTTGAGCTATACAAAGAAAACAAAGTATTGACTGCTCACATTCCTTAAGAAACCTATTTAAGAATATGCCTCCTTGAACACACCTGTACAAATAACTTGTACCTTGATGAAGACACCCATAACAGGTCAATAATTTTATGAAAACACCTTTCAAGGAATATCCTACTTACAACATACTTGACAATCCTCTCTCTCTGAAAGCAAGTCTCAAAGATCATCTCATCTTTAGCACCAGATTTCTAATTCCTCCTTAGAAAAGTTACATATCACATACTCACATCAAAACATTACTTTTGAATGTTATCTACAATGTTCAATAAAACTTCTAAATAACTAATTGATATTCTCTTAGAATATATACAAAGCACCACCAATTGTCACACTATTGTGCTCTGTGCACTGATAGTGATACAACCATCTGATTTAACAAGGACAATCGGAAGAATGAAATTTTATCACAGAACATTATTCTACTTTCTATCCAAAAGATTTAGAACAAATAGCTGCCATGATGACAGCTATAATGGCTATATCAACAACATACAGAAACAGTAATTAGCACAATCATGTTACAGTGCTGTATCTTTAGAGGAAAAGCACTAACATAGTATTAAATGTATTATTAAAATATGTATGTTAATCTCTATTATTATTATGTTATCTATCTTATTTATAGTACAAATTTATACAAAGTCAATTAACCAGAGGGATGATGACAATTGTTTGATCTTCTTTTGTTCTTCAAAAGTTGGATATTTTCCCTTCTTTTCTCGTCTCTCCTATGTTTTTGCTTCTAATGATACAAAATTTGAGCATTCCTTTGCGATTTTAATCTTTAACAGCACAATCCAAGATGGTTGCCTAGAAGCCATTTTGTTTTTCTTCTCAGTCTAAAAGTCAAACAGGCACAATTAGGAACCAGTACTTCTGAAGAAATAGCCATAACAAACTCTACTAAGCAAATTCCAAGATGGCTGCATCTCAGCCATTTCGTTTTTTCTCATGGGTCCCAAAATCAAACGGGCACAACTAGGGATCAAGGGCAACCTACATAAGAAATCTGAGATTGATCAATTCAATACTTCTCAAGAAATAGTGATATCAAACTTTTATTATGGAAATCCAAGATGGGTTACTGTCAGCCATTTTATTTTTCTGATCATTCATAAAATCTAACAGGCACAACTAGGGACCAATATGACCAACAAAGAACCAAGGAGAATGTAAGTATGTCATTTGAGAATGATCCATCTAGTACTTCTCATGAAAAAGCAATTACAAAAATTGTTTACAGATGGACCCAAAGAAGGACTATTTGAAAATCCCACCATCTGATAATGATGTGCTGAAAACTCTTCAGTTCACAGTAACATTAAAAAGGGAACCATCATATTCATACTGGACTCACTTATATATACTTTCATGACAAATTTACTTGGAAAGTTTTCCCGTTGTATAGATGTATCAAGACCAAAAAACAGTCAGATGTTTTGAAAATATGAGCCATGATCACAGATCTATTAAAAACTTGAAATCTGTATCAAGTATGAGAAATAAAAGTAAAGCAGATGGAAGACAGAAACGAGCCAGCTAAGGGTTGAAATTGTAAAAATTGTTAAAAAAAAATAGCAGTTACATTGAGGAAAGTGTCAGGCATTCTTGTAAATGAGCTTCTAAACACATTTTAAAAAAATAAAGTAAAAGCTGCTCATAGTTCCTTATTGTAAAACAGAGTCAAATCTAAGCCACTTAAAAACCTGTTGAACATATGTACAAACAATAACATTAACGATGTACCACTGAACATATGTACAAACAATAACATTAACGATGTACCACTGAACATATATACAAAAATAACATTAACAATGTACCACCAATATGATGATTTCATTTCTGATTCAACCCTAGTATTGATATAAAAATAGATATACATGAAAGAAGAGGCGAATAACCCATCACAGACAGCTAATTACAAAAAATACTTGATATCTCTCATGCTAGGGAGACTTGACATTTATGACAATTTTCTGTGATTTCTGGAACATGTGTCTCGACCTGAACGGTGGTGAACAGAAATTTGTGTTTCTGTTTCAGCATTGTATTGGCAGCCTCCAAGACACTTTGGTGAGATGAAGAGGCATCTGAAATATAATTCAACAAGTATTACATACATCGGTAAACTGCCTTCTACTTGAAGGTTTTGATATAGATTGAGGAAAATCAGTCAACCTCAATGGCTAAGGGTGTAACATGTACAAATGTATTTTTATAAAGTACTTAAAAATGTCAAGGGTTTTAAAGTACAAATATACTCCTTAATTATCCTAAAACAATTGAAAAACAAGTAATCCGCTTATTTAAATCCCTACTGTATCCCACAATTGAAATATGTGAAAGGTATTACTGTGGAAGGAATTTGTAGTACACATAGAAAACCCATACAGACTAGCAGATGAATCCATGCCTTGTCGCGTCTGACTGAAAACCAAGCCCTAATTACCCAGATGAAAGACCAGTGTGTTACTAATGCACTATCCAACCAAAGGCTTGAGGCTTTCACAAACACCTATCTTGCATTTTTTAGCAGAAATGGGTCAAGATAAGACCTTATCATCTCTTCAGATTTGATCTTGTATCCCTTTTCAAAACCTAAGCACCTTGCCTCATAACCAGCTTAAGCAGACTCAAAGCAGGAACAGCATTTTATTCATATCAAGATATTGAACATTTAAAAAATATCTTGTGCATTTTTTCTGTTTTGTGCACTATATCATTTGTTTGAAATGGAAAGGTTGGCTTAACTTACACAAATTTTAATTCACGTTATCAAATCATGTTTTTAACCTAATTTATGTTGAGCTGTGGCTTTCATCTACATTTGATCCTGTCTTTCCCCAACAGGCAGTGACGCAAGGCAACTCAAAGTATATTGAATAATAATGATGACATAGAACTTAGAAATCCATAGTAAAGAGACAGAGTCTTTGTAATCCTTTATATAAACGTACCTATCCCTAAGTGGATTGCAACAGCATTCTTGTCTATGGTCAATGCCCATACGCTGAGATCATGAGCAGTCTTTACTCCCGGTAAACTCTCAAGGTCAGCAATGATTTCACTGTAATCTACATCTCTTGGCACACCTGTAATAGACATCAATATGTCCATCAAATCATCAGAAATCAAATGCGTTTGTCAAATAAACAATCAATAAAATCTAATCTCTTGTTTCGTAACCTTTCCTTCAGTATAGAAAACAAAGTGAATTGGGAGATCTAATTTAAGGTAGAAAAACACCCATACAAATGTCTCTATACAGTATCACTGTCAGTGTCAGATAGAAAAACACTTGTACAAATGTCTCTATACAGTATCACTGTCAGTGTCAGATAGAAAAACACCCGTACAAATGTCTCTATACAGTATCACTGTCAGTGTTAGATAGAAAAACACCCGTACAAATGTCTCTATACAGTATCACTGTCAGTGTTAGATAGAAACACCCGTACAAATGTCTCTATACAGTATCACTGTCAGTGTTAGATAGAAAAACACCCGTACAAATGTCTCTATACAGTATCACTGTCAGTGTTAGATATAAAAACACCCGTACAAATGTCTCTATACAGTATCACTGTCAGTGTTAGATAGAAAAACACCCGTACAAATGTCTCTATACAGTATCACTGTCAGTGTTAGATAGAAAAACACCCGTACAAATGTCTCTATACAGTATCACTGTCAGTGTTAGATATAAAAACACCCGTACAAATGTCTCTATACAGTATCACTGTCAGTGTTAGATATAAAAACACCCGTACAAATGTCTCTATACAGTATCACTGTCAGTGTTAGATAGAAAAACACCCGTACAAATGTCTCTATACAGTATCACTGTCAGTGTTAGATAGAAAAACACCCGTACAAATGTCTCTATACAGTATCACTGTCAGTGTTAGATAGAAAAACACCCGTACAAATGTCTCTATACAGTATCACTGTCAGTGTTAGATAGAAAAACACCCATACAAATGTCTCTATACAGTATCACTGTCAGTGTTAGATAGAAAAACACCCGTACAAATGTCTCTATACAGTATCACTTTGTGTTCTGATAGTTGTTATAATGAATATTCAGAGTTTTGATTTTTTATAAGGAAGAACATTTAGAAGACAAAAATATAAAAGTATGGTTGATTCTTTAAGAAATACATGAATTTTCAAAAGAAAGTAAATCTTACATGAATTTTTTTTTCAATACTTTGAGAAAGAAAGTTGAACCCCCTTTGTCTTATTACTTGGAAATAACAATGTGACATCATGTCTGTCGTCATAATGTCACAAAGCATGTGATGATTTGTTTATTATACTGATATCACAAAACCAGTGATAACCTGTATGTTGTCCTGATATCACAAAATTTGTAACAACATATCTGTTGTCCTGATATCACAGAACAAGTGACAACCTGTCTGCTATCCTGATGTCACAAATTTGTGACAGCCTTTCTGTTGACCTGATATAACAAAATTTGTAATAACCTGTTTGTTGTCCTGATGTTACAAAATTGTGACAACCTGTCTGTTGTCCTGATGTTAAAAAAATTGTGACAACCTGTCTGTTGTCCTGATGTCACAAACTTGTGACAGCTTGAGGATTGCCGTATAATCACAAATGACTACATATACTGTAGTACCCTGCTAGACATACCTTCCATCATTATCTGGAGTGTGTCACGTAGAACAAAGACGGTGGTAAAGAGGACGATGATGGAGAACAGGAATGTACATATAGGGTCGGCTAGTTTGGAGCTAGGATCAGGCTGAAAATCAGAAAAACTCAAATTAGAACTTTAACAGTAATGAATAAGAGAAAATACTCCATTTCAAAATGTCTGTGAGACGTAAATGATTCTGCTCCTAAAGTATACATCTGATGATTTTTTTATAAACAGGGATGATCTTAATCAACATTTGAACTACAATGTGTCTAAATGCCAGTAAAGTTAACACAGATATAATAAAGTTTGTTCATATTGTCTTCATAACTAACATCCATAGACTGAATGTGTTGATTGTTATCTATGAATTATAATGATGACCCTAACCTTGACCTTTGAACCCAAACACATGAACTCATCTGAGGTGTTTTAGTGTTTGATAAAAATTGTAAGAAATGTAGGTGCTAGAGTAATAACTTTGAATCAAGATATGACAGATATGAGTAATAATCCTAGAAACACTTTCTTAATCTGGTACAAACCATCAGTTTAATGATGAGAGCTGCTACCAATACTCCAACACTCTGTATAATGTCGCCTATCACATGAATAAAAGCAGCTCGAACGTTGATGTTTTTCTTTCGGTGGTGTTTGTGGATTGTATGTGATTCTGTGGATGGAGTTCGTGGCATTAATTCTTGGTCAGTGTCATGCTGAAGTAGGCGCTCATATGCTGCATCATTAGGATGATTGGATGGCTTGTGAGAGTGTCCATGAGAATGCCCACCTCCACCGTGGGAATGTCCGTGACCAAAAGAAGCACGAGCAGAGGCTGATCCACAACATTTCTCAGAATGAAGCACAATACCCATTCTGTAGAAAAATTGAAGTTTCTATTCAAACCAATATATAAATTATTCATTTCAAAAAGAAAAATTTGCAAGAAATACATTAAGCTGTCCACAAAGATTTTCAACTGATATTTTGTTTGTAAATTTACCTTTCCATTTAAATTTAAATTTACAATGCTATAAAATTACTTAAATGGAAGAAATAGTTCTCAGAGTGACAAACATGACTCAAATACTGTCAAACATGATAAGCTGTGATTTACACAACATTAAACATCACTTTAGACAAGCTGTGACTTACACAACATTAAACATCACTTTAGACAAGCTGTGACTTACACAACATTAAACATCACTCCTAGAGAAGCTGTGACTTACACAACATTAAACATCACTCCTAGAGAAGCTGTGACTTACACAACATTAAACATCACTCTTACAGAAGCTGTGGTTTACACAACATTAAACATTACTCCTAGATAAGCTGTGACTTACACAACATTAAACATTACTCCTAAAGAAGCTGTGACCAACATTACACAACATTAAATATCACTCCTAGACAAGCTGTGATTTACACAATATTAAACATCACTCCTAGAGAAGCTGTGACTTACACAACATTAAACATTACTCCTAAAGAAGCTGTGACCAACATCTCGTCAGGTTTGACACTTGTGTAATGTCCTCCTGTTATCCTTTCCACAGCCATATAACACAGGACTCCTGTCACCAACCAGATGATGAACACACTGAATAAGGCACCAAGGACCTCTGAAATGGAAAAAATTATTGAGTATCAAGTGAAACTGCAATTCTGGAATATATACTCAAAGGATAAAGAGCCACAGGGTAAACTTTGAAACTGATTCTAGGCAAGACATTGAGTATAATGTTCAATATTTTAAAGTAAGAATGAAGATTAATCCATACAGAATAAACTGCAAAATCAACGATTTGTATCAGGTAAGTGATTTAGGAGTAATTCAAGGAAATTGAAAGAGGACTGATTGTTGGAGCTGGCTACTCAATACTGTGTATATCCCCATTTCTCTTTCCACAGCCCTGATTTTCCTAGGCATGGAGTTCAAGAATGAGTTTATCCTCCTCTTGAGAATTTTGGCCCATTCTTCCATGAGGGTTGCTCTTAGTTGGGCCAGAGGAACAAGGGGAGGCTGGCGTCATTGAACCTGTCCATCCAGCTGGTCCCACATGTGCTCAATAGGGGATAGGTCAGAACTGTATGGCAACCAGTCCAGTGGGTGGATATTGTTGTTAGTGAGAAAGTCGCTGCAGACCCTCGCTTGTGGGGCAGAGCATTATTCTACTTGAATGTGAGGTAGTTTTGCTGCAATAATGGGACAACATGGGGTCAGAGGATCTCATCTCTAAACCCAGTGACAGTTAACTTATCCCCTACCACAACCAGTGGTGATTTTACTCGATATGAGACTCTTCACCACACCATAATTGATCCACCCCCAAACCTATCCCTCTCTACTTCGCAGCAGTCGGCAAAACATTCTCCACAATGTTGGTATACAAAATATCAACATTTGCTGGAAACTGGGTGAACTGGGACTCATCAGTAAACAAGACCCGCCTCCACTGCCTCAATGGGAATATTTTGGGGGCATGTGCCGCCACCCAAGCCATACGCAGCTGGCGAGGAGCAGTGGTAATGGACAGGCCTACAAACTGGTGACATGACCAGAGACGAACGTCCCACAATCATTTCCTTACAGTTTTTGCATGGATAGGATAGGAGTACCCATAGTATGAAGGGCGATTCAATGACAGTTAGGTGCCGATTGCCCAAGACAAATAAACCTGTCCTGACGTTGTGACGTCGTACGGGGATGCCCAGACCTAGGTCTGTCAGCAACCCACCCAGTTTCCCTTAGATGTCTAACAAGACGTTCTATAGTCCAAATATGGACACTCTAAACTTCCATCAGCCATACCATTGTTTAATGCTACCAGAAATTAATCAAAATATCAGAAAATTATGTCTCTATGAAGACTACCTAATGGTATGCTGAGCAGTGTAACTCAATGTCACAAAACACTATGCACCAGAATTTCCATTTCATGCTTTCCATGGAAGACATTGTCACGCAATAAGATAATGCAACATTTGATACAGGACCATGTGCAAAGAAATAAAACTAAATAAACTGAAATCATGATATAAGTGTACAATAAGGACTCTAACATATGTGTATGTTAGTTTAAGACATATCTAAACTATTCTATTAATGACAGAGCAATTCAGTCTGTAATCAACAGTTGTTAAATCCTTCCAAACTTTGGCACCAAAACTGTGGTGATAAACCATTTTATTGGAGCCTTTAACAAAAATCAACACTGGGCCAAACACGCTGTGGGCATGATTATTAATCTTGGAATGTAATACTACTGCCACATCTAAACAAAAGCCATTAGGCAGGGACATGATTTAAATGACACCCATCAATTTATTAAGAGGCCAAATAATTAAGTTAAGTTAAACAGTTACTTACTAAATTTGTCACCTCCACGTGTTTTGTAAAAAGAAATCAAAGTACTGAAAGTACTGGTATGCTAAGACCATTAAAAAATAAATTCTTTGTTATTAGCTTGCTATATACTGAAACCAACTATATGCAATCAGTAAATCATTGCAGCCCATAAAAAATGACCAGCAGATATCAGAAATAACAAGCATAGTAGTATTACTTATGTAATACATGTCCCAAGTAGGCTCCAAGATGCAATGATAGGGAAGTTGTCCATTTCTTTGGATACATTGTAGGGAATGTTGATCATGGACACCATATTATCACTTTAAAGACTGTGTATCCTATTGGTTTAAGACCATTAGTTAGACCATCATGCAAATAACATGCTACATACAAATATTGGACAGCTTCATTTTCCAGATTGTTTGTAAATGACTGCATAAGAGTGCCAATTTTCTAAAACAAACATGACTTGTCACCATAACTTAAAATAGAAGATGCCTATTCTTCCAGAAAACCTGGTCTTATTCTCCTTGTACTTTTTCTGGGAATCTTCAAGTAGATATTGACTTTGTTCCAATTTTTCATGTTTATATATTCTTTGTTCTCTAAAACTTGTCACAAGATATTTCATTCCTCTTGTATTATCATTTTTTTTAACATCCTTACAGTGACCTTGAACCTTGAAATTTACAAGATGTGAATATCTTTTAGGTTGTGAAATTTGATAGAAAAACAAGGGTAATACAATGGAAAAACACCCACATGCAACTATCCGTTTTTTGACTGTGACCTTGATCTTTGATATCTGACCCTGAATTTCTAAAGAAACCGACTTCTCCTCACAAGGGATACATGTTCCAAATTTGATTAAGGTATACTAACTGGTCTTGGTCTCAATGCGTTTACAAGGTAATCATATAGTACTTATGCAAGTACTGTGACCTCTACATTCAATCCTCAAAATCATTACTATATCCTCTCCACATTGCCCAGGGATAACTGAAACTGTAATCCAAATGATAACTAATACCCCCATCACCCACAGCCTTAGTTATCTCCCCATGGTGACCTTTTGCAAAAAAAATCCTCTGAAACACAGCGGCATGTGCACATGTTCCCTAATATTCCTGCGGAGTTTTGTTGAAATTGGTCCACAGGTTTAGAAGTTGACCGACATGCAAAACCTGTCTATATTGCCCAGATGCCATGGCAATCAATATTTCCAGGGGAAAATGGTGCATGCACATCTACACATTGTCCCGAATATTACTGTAGTTTCATTGGAGTTGTCTAGACAAGATGTGTCTACAGACAGACAAACAGATGGATGGACAGATAGACAACTTGATTCGATTTACCCACCCTTTTGGTGGTATAAGAATGCACAAGAGTGCTTACAAATTCCATGTGGACAGACATCATGGAAAAATAATAATGATAATAATAAAAATAAAAACATGATAAAGATGCTTATATCTTGTTTTCTTTATTCAGTATACTTTCCATGCTTTGATCAGCAATGTAATCGTGTCATGTCAATATCCTAGTACAAGATTGCATACACAAAATTGTTGTAGGTAGACTTTTAAGACAAATAAAAAAAATACATGTCTAAGTTTAAATGAAGGTTTTAAACAGAAGTTGTATTATGTTCAGTATACAGTGATTTTTCTAGACAATTGTAAACTATAAACTCGGTATACAGCGATCTTTTCTACACATTTGTAAACAACAAACTCAGTATGCGGTGATCTTTTCTACAAAAAGTTTTTTTATATATTGTATATACATAACTCAGAAAAAAAAAAATAAGTAAATCTTTCTATGTACACTACAAACTCAGTATACAGTGATCCTTTCTACATAAACTTGGTATAACTAGTGAATCTTTCTACTTAAGTAAATTGAAGATTGTAAAGAAATTTACTACAAATGCAGCATACAATGATCTTTTCCACATTTTTTTAGTTTCTGCCATTTGTTGATTCTTCTTTTGTGATGGTAATTATATTGCCGCCTTTAGAGAGTACTGTGACCTTAAAAGGCAACATGGTTGTTAGCATATCCTCAAGTGATTAACCATCTTCAACATCTAATTGGAGGTCGGTTAGAAGGACGTTTTTCTCCACCATAAGGTCCTCAAATCCATTGTTGGTCACAATGGCCAATTCCAAGTTAGAATAATCAAGAGATACCTTCTACCATTCCAGATTTCATTTCTTCAGGGACATCCACCTGCTGAAAGAGAGTAAAGCAAATAAATAACTATATTTCTTTATTGCTATGATTATGTGCAAGAAATATACACTTCTGTATAAGCTTATAGTCTTGAACTTCCCAATAGGAGTCTATATTAAATATAATTAATTGTTTTGACATTCAGGACTGTCAAATTATGAAGTGATGGACAGCTAGAAAATAAGAATATCTTGACCATGGTCATACAGAGATTGAATCATAAAGTTAAATTCATAATTTATTTTGACGTTTGTATTTCAAAAATTATTATGACTTGAAAGGTAATGTGTAATTTAATTAATTACATTGGACCGTCATGCAATGGCAATGCCATTTTCATAATGTAATTGTAATTTCATTAATTACATCATCATGTAATTGAACCCATGCCTGTTACAAACAGTAGCTGTCCTAACTGATCCTAAAATTAAATTTGGCTATGTCTATCACAAAATTAATGTTGGCTGTCTATTACAAATGCCATATTTAGCTACAGTAGAGGTATTTCAAAAATGTATGTCATTGTAACTGAAAGGACACAATTAATGGTTACTTAACCAGAACTACAGTTCTGAACAAACCACTACAAAGCCTGGTTAACTGTACTAAGAAAATGTCTTCTCAATTAATCAATTCCATTGATTATTGACATCTTATTGTTGTACTTACAGTCACTTGAGTTTCTTAAAAATTGCAATTTGACTTTTAATAAGGCCCAAAATGATAATACTGCAATGTCTTAATTAGCTCTCGAGGGGTATTGGTTAGACTATTTATCTCATTTCATTCCATTCACCATGAAAACAAAACTCTAAAAAACAGTCGACAATTAATGACAAATATTGAGCCTAGGGCTGGGTAAAATTGATGAATCAAAAGTGTTGAACTGAAAGTGGACGCAGTTGACATAATACTGAAATTTCTGAGATGAACAAATACAGTACATATATCAAAAAGTTCAATTGTACCAATAATACTTTACACATTCACACTGGGACTTTACACATTCACACTGGGACCTAACACTTTGCT